ATATTCATTTAGGTTGAAAAATTCTCTAAAGATTTTTGAGTCTAACCATTAACCTAGCACTGCCAATGCCACCACTAAACCATATCCCTGAGCGCCTCGACCACACATCTCAAATAAATCCCTCTGGGGATGGTGACTCCACCACCCCCCAGGGCAGCCCGTTCCCATGCCTGACAGCCCTTTCCATGAGGATATGCTCCCTAATATCCAATCTAAACCTCCCCTGGCACAACTTGAGGCCATTTCCTCTTGTCCCATCACTTGTCACTTGGGAGAAGAGACCGACCCCCCCTCTGCACCTTACTGTCAGGGAGTTGTAGAGAGCGATAAGGTCTCCCTGAGCCTCCTCTTCTCCAGGCTGAACACCCCCAGCTCCCTCAGCTGCTCCTCACGGGAATTGTGCTCCAGACCCTTCCCCAGCTCTGTTCCCTTCTCCGGACACGCTCCAGCCAAGCTTTGAACAGTCTGCTCTACCTGCTGCTCTTGTTTCACATGGGCACCAGTGGTACAGCCAGGAGCGGTCTGAGGAGTATCAAGAAGGACTGCAGAGCTCTGGGAGAGGTGGAGAGGGACTCTGGAGCACAGGAAGTCTTTTTGTCCATCCTGCCAGTCAGAAGGAAGGGGTTTGAAAGGGCAGTTGAATCTGGTGTGTCAACAAATGGTTACAGGGCTGGTGGCACAGCCAGGGGTTTGGGTGCTTAGGCCATGGGACTGGCTTTGAGGAACCTGGTTTGCTGGGGGCTGATGGGGTCCATCTGTCAGAGAATGGGAGGAGTATCTTTGGTCACAGGCTTGCCAAGCTGGTGAAGAGGGCTTTACACTCAAGTTCCATCCATCCCACTCCTGCCAGTTTGATGTCAGTGCCAGCAATAGATGCCCAGAGCCTGGAGAAGGACCACAGCTCAGCAGGAGAGCACCCGCTTAGGCGCCTGAGCTTAGACAACTCGGGTAGGTAACTAGAAAAAGATCAGTACAATCGGGATTTTGGAGTCTGTGGTTAGTCATGACTATGCAGAGGAGCTGCTCAGCTCCCCCTGAGGATGCCCAGGTTCAGGATGGAGGCAGAGAAGGGCTGCTCCTTGATGCTGAAGCTGGGGAACAAAAGGATGGCCCTACTCCCTGCCAGCACGCACCGGCAAATGAGCAGTGTGATGGTCCTAGTTCCTATAAAACCAAGGGACCCATATATCTGGTTATGTTCATTTCTGTATTTTAGGCTGGTTTTGGTCACAGACACAGGGGTGTGTTCAGTGCAGTCACAATGAAACCTTGGCTGCGAGCAAAGAGCATACAGAAATTAGCGTCTCTGACTTGCTGAGGCCGTCTGATCTGGTAATCCCCTGCCTTGCTTCACGGCACGGCTTGGAGCCGTGTCTGGAGAGTGTTTGCTGAGCCGTGCCACAGCAGGTTCCCGTCTCAGCCTCTGCAGCTGACACGTGCCCACTGTGCTTCTCTCTGGCATCAGGGAGGTGGTATTCAGCGTCAGACATCCTGTGTTGCGGTGTGTTATCTCACTCCTCACCCTGAAATATTTCCTTCCCAAAATCGGTGCCTTTCCTGGAGATGTGCCTCCTCGCAGGTCCCCTTCCAAATCTGGGGGACAGGGAATCATAGCCTTGGCTGAAGTAAGGCAGAAGAGCCTCAAACCTCCCTTGGGACTCTTTTGTCCCTTGTGGACAAAACTTTTGTGGAGATACTGAAAAGTGAAACATGCTTTACAATCTTCTCTTGGTTTTCCTGTAGGGACTGGTAGGAGCAGGGCTGGAGCAGATTCCCTACCCCCTTGCAGGGATGCTTGCCATGCTGTCAGGTCCCTGAGAGACCCCAGCAGGGAGGTGACAACCTCCAGGATATGATGTCTCGTCAGCCAGCCATAGATTGTTGGAACAAGCCGTGATCCCCAGGAGCGCAGCCGGAAAGCAGCACCTTGTGTGAACTTCTCGGCGTGAACACGAGCACCGCGAACACGCCATGTGTAACCCTCCAGCACTATTGAACCTGTGATTTCTTGGAAGGATTTAACCTTGCAATTAAATAGTGTGATAAATTCCCACTTTAAGTATAAGAAGGTGCTCTTGTTTCTGCCCCAGCTCTGCAGCCCGACCTGATATTGGCTTGTTTCTCCATCCACCACTGGAGTGCAGGGCCGGCTCTGCTGAACAGCCCTACAGACAGAAGAGCGAGGATGCTCCATGCAATCCATACCCCTCTCCTGCCATCTAGAGGCATCAACCCCGCAGATACTTGTGAGATCACCGCCGGACCTGTGTTGGATGTATCCCCGCAGCCCCAGGAGTCTGGGCTGTGGGAGAGGAGTGGGACCTGGGGTTCCTACTCCTGCTCTGGGGAGTCCTCACAGCCCCGGAGGAGGCAGAGGGGTTCAGCTGGGGCTGGGGGTGTGTGATTTTGGAGGGGGTGAGCTGCCAGCTAGCCTCTCTTCATGGGAGTATCCAGCTTGGCTTCTAGGAACCAGTGGTTGTCCCAGCGCCCTGCCCCTCCACCTCCCATCGGTGCAGCAGTGGACGTAGAGGGATGCCGGCTCTGCTGTCGCGATGTCTCCATGCTGAGGGAACCAGGGTCAGGAGGGGGCTGCATTATCCCTGCGGACGAGCCACACTGCTGCATCCCATGGCAGCAATGACCTCCACTCCTTGCTCAGCCTCTCACTTCATCATGGGTGCAGCGGTGCCAGCGAGACCCCCACAGGACCCCCTTGACTTGTCCATCTCTTGCAAAGCCCTGCCTTGCTTGGACAACAGGGCTCTCCCAAAGCCCGATGTGTCAGGCTTTCCCAAAGCAAGAGATCACCCAAAACACCACGAAACTCATCTGCTGAGTTGAAGGAGCCAGAGCAGTGAGGGTCATTGCGACGGTGAATACAGTCCGTGCGCCCGGGCTGAGCCTGGCTGAGCAATGATGTGCTGGGTCTGTGCTACGAGCCCCCACACCTCCATCCCCCAGGCAGTCCGCGAGGCTCTGCAGCTCTGCAACTCCTTGTTGTCCCAAATCTCGGTTCTTCACCCAGTGTGCAAAGAGCTGATCAGCACACAGAGTCGAGATACTTGCTTTTATTTCATGGCTGCGCCGAGATGGGTGCTGGGTGGTAATTCCACAAAGCTAGCACACCACACGGTCAAACAAACAAGGTATTTATACAGCTTAGAGTTACACATTCAATTTCTAAGGTTGCTGCTAGGACTAATATTGTAGCTATTTATCTAACACGACTGATACTGGCCTGAAGTTTTCTTCATTTTGAATTAAAGGTACAGTGTCCTTCTATTTTACAGCTCATGTTCAAGGAACGTGCAGGGGTGAGTCGGTTCCATCTTCAGTTGCTCCAGTGGTCGTTACCTCTCCTGCCGCTTTTTACCTTTAGTCCAGTTGGCCATGGATTCTGCTGACTTACCCCCCTGCAGCCAAAGTTTTGCCTTGTAGCATTTGTTGTGGCCAAATATTTCCTTTACCATATCTTGAAATTCTTGATTTTACCATGTTCTTTTCTTCAGGGTTTAGCAAAACACAATTTATAACTCAGCCAAGCTTGCATAATATTATCCTTGCGGGATTTCCTAGCTGACCCTTCTGTTACCATCCTCGCCAGCAGTGCTTTATAGAGAGGTCTCCACCACGGTGTCCCCAGGCACCGTGCTCGTCATCTTCTCTTCGAACACTCGGCGGAAGGCGGCTTTTGCTGAGACCTGGAACCGGCGCTGCTGGCAGCTTCCCACCAGGAAGTAAATGTATGGGTTGATGCTGCTGTTCAGTGATGCCAGCAGGTAAGAAATATGAATGTAAAACAGGTTTAAATAAATAGGTTCAAGGAAAACCACCACACTGAAAGGAAATCCAAAGATGAACAAGAAGATCACACTGAGAAGGACAACAACATAAAGCTTCCCTGGGTGTTGTTTCTGTGTTCCATATCGGAGTTTCATGAACAGGGAAAGGTTGGAAAGGAATGGGAATAAAGAGAAAATGATAAAATTCATAATGCTTATACCCTGTAATAGTTGTATACAGTTTATACCCATAGGGTAATAGCAACCCATGAAATTCAAAGAAATGAGAACTCCGGCGAGAGCCCAGAGCACCCCACATGTGATGCCTGAGAAGTGCTTCGGGCGGCGGCACCGGTACCAGATTGGGAACAAAACAGAGAGGCACCTCTCCATGCTCATTGCTGTGAGGAGGTACATGCTGGCAAAATACCAGAACAGAAACAGATCCATCAGGACATACTTGGCCACACTATGTTCAAATAAGAAACTACAAGAGACAGTTGACGTAACGTAGAATGAAAGTATAACAAGAAGGAACAGGAGCAGAGCCAGGTCAGCAACGGCCAGGTTCAGGACGTAGACGGTGAAGGGGCTCTTCTTCATGTGGAAGCCCAAAACCCACACGACCGCCACATTCCCCACGAGTCCGCAGAGGCAAATAGTGATACAGACACCTGCAATTGCCAACATAGTGTAATTATGTGTTATGCACTGAGATTGGCTAACATCCTCATAGTCCAAGTATCCTGAAGTCACGTTGCTCAGAGGGAGGTCTGTTGTGACGGTCCCCACCATGGTGAACGACCCTGCTCTGGGTGAACGCCTTCTCCCTCTCCCACCACCTCCTACGAGAGACAAGGAAGAAGGAAATGGGGGGCATTGGTGCTCCCAGCACTCGTCACCTTTCCCCATGGCCCCACAACAGCCCCAAGCTATGCCAGGAGGGACCCCGTCCTATGCCATGCCCAGGACAGGATCCCACCCCTCTCTGGCCCTGGCCCTGGCCAGCAGGCATCTCCCACCTGCCCATCCCTGGACTCCTACCTCCTGGTGCTCCTGGGAACAGTGCTGCTGCAGGAGCTCCAGCACACGGAGCCTCCTCGGAGACGGGCTTGCCAGGAGAAAGAGGGTGGTGATGGCTGCTGGGGCCACCCGCTCTCCTTTGGCCTCGTCCCTTGTGCCTGAGGAGCAGACCTTCGGCCGGAGATCGCGTTGTGTGGTCAGGAGACTCCCCTCACAATCTCATTGCATCGGTGGCAGCTTCCCCTCACATGTCCCATGGACGGTGATCTTGTCAGCAGGGGTTGGTCACATCACCCCCTTTGTCTTCTCCCGCTGCATTCCAGCTTTGTCCCACCATGAGATGGGCTTCTGGCTTTTGCTCTCTGTACCTGTTAGTCAAAGACTTCCCCCTGCTTTCCCTGGACACACTTTACCCCCATACAGAGGCTTCACCATGATGTGTGGCAAAACCCGGAATGAGCTGCAAGCAACTTAACTATAGCCCCAAAACCATAGGAGAAAAATCCCACAGAGCTAAGGCCAAGCAAGATCTTCTGCGTGGAGTCAAAGGAAGAGAAAGCAGCACCGTGCCAATAAGGGATGATGCTGGCTGGCTGGTTCATGTGCAAAGTGGGAGGTGTGTGAAGGGTGGATTGTCCCAGTCCAGGAAAATTTGGGAAGAGTTTTGCAGAGTAAAACGTTCTTCTGTTATTTTCCAGCAGCACCACTTGGGAAAGCCCCATCTGCCAACACAGGTGGGTACATAAATCATTCCCAGGGGTGGAGGATGGTGGAAAGGTGAGAGAGATGAGCCAAGGGACACTCAGCAGCGGGAAATCACCGATGTGCGGGTGTACAACAGCATGAGGGCTCTGCGCAGTGCCTCTGATGACATGTAAGCTGGTGCTCCAAGACTTCTCCCAACTTTCTTCTGGGATACACTGCCATCAGAGAGAGGCTTTGTTTTGATGTGTCAAAGCATGGAATGCAGTACTTGTGAGAAGTGTGATGCTACAAAGCCATGGAAGAAATCAATAAGGGAAAATGTTTTGCTTAGTGGAGGTGAAGAAAGAAAAACGCATGCTGCCCATGTAGGACAGTGATGGTGGTTTTATAGTCCCAAAACGGTGGGAAAGGGGAATAAAGGGACTTCATCTCATGAAGCACGACTGAGCAACACAGCACACTCAGATGTCCATGTGAGGCACTCCGATTCTCTCTTCCAAGGTCCTGAAGGAAACATCAGACCTTATTTGCCCTGACCCCACCCATTCATCCCCTGCCCATGGGACCAGGGGCTCCAGTTAGGGTCAGGCCTGAGCAACCAGGCTTTTCCTGAGCTATGCAGGAGTTGCACCTCCCTGAAGACCTGTCCCCTCGCCCCCCTCTCAAGGATGGACCTCAAGCCTATGCTCTAGCCTTGTTTCAAGTCTATCTCTGGCCCCAGCTCCTGCAGCTCCAGGCTGGACCCCCTGGAAACACCATGTACCTTGCCCATTACTGTGCATTCACCACCTGAAATCAAAGGACATCCTTGGAGGACAGCAGTCTTGGGGATGACAAGCATAGGCAATTAACTCCCAAGAAGAGGTATTCAGAAGGTAGAAAACACATAAAAGAGGGAGAGGAAATAAGCAATGAAAATGCCAGTCCCTATGATGCTAAAGGATGAGATTGTGCAACAGAAACCACTTGTAGATAAAAGCACATTTGCAGCACTATGTACCCCACAAAATGTAATCTCAGAGGAGACACATGCATGTCAGGGATGTGATTAGAGGCAGCGGGCAAAGCTCTCGTGCTGTTCTGATCTGAGTACTGGTGATTTCTCACGTCAAGTTGAGCCAAGGCCAGCGCTCTGCCTCGTTGAGGGGGCTCTGTTGGCATCCCAGATGCAGAGAGTGGGTGTATGATGAGGCCTGGGGGGCAGGGGAAGGGATGGGCATGACCAGGAGTGGTTCTGCACCTGAGGAATGATGGGAGGAAGAAGGAGCATTAAGGCCATGGGACTGTCAGGGACTTCCAAGGGGTTTTGGCTGGTTCATCCCCATTGTTGATTGTCCCTGGCTCATCCCACTCATCGTTCTGCCTTCCTCTTGCCCTGCCCCACCATCCCCTTGGTGCTGCAGGCTGTAAGGATGGTGAAAGAACAAAAGAGAGGTAGGGGAGTTCTTCCACAACCAGCTTTCCACAGCAACATCCAGGAGGCCCTGGCATGGCAAGTCGAAGCTGGAGGATGGGTGTGTAGAGATCCTGACCAGAAGACAGTTATTCAACAGGGAGTCAGTGATCTACAAAACACCCAACCTGAGTAGTCCTGGGCCTGTGCTGTGCCATGCTGTGCATCTCCCTTGGCCGTGGCATCAACCTGGCCAGTTGGCAGAGAGAGAGAAGAACCTGCAGGCAGCTCCCACTGGGTGGTGGTGACTACACCACCAGCACGTCCTTGGCTTTATGCGAGGTTGCTGCAAGGGTTCTCATGTGAACATCCTTCTTCTTTGACAGCAGAAGGAGTTGTTGTCTTTTTTGAGAAAATCCTGCAGTAGCTCAAACAACCATAATGGTCTAACCTTTCCATGGACAGGATCTGCCCTCATCAGAGGGCTGTTTGATGATGCAGGACTTGGGTTCCCACCACCTGGAGGACATAAGATTATCTGCGTTATCCTCTCCTTCTTCATAGTTTTAGATGGAGTAAATGGTGTTTAAAATGGTACTTCACAAAGTCTGAGTGCCTTTCTTAATGGGATCATAACAGATCACCCTCCTGGTGAAAAACCAGGGGGGAGGAGATGAAGGGTGTGATGTGACCAACGCCTATTGACAAGATCGCTGTCCATGGGACATGTGAGGGGAAGCTGCCACCGATGCAATGAGATTGTGAGGGGAGTCTCCTGACCACACAACGCGATCTCCGGCCGAAGGTCTGCTCCTCAGGCACAAGGGACGAGGCCAAAGGAGAGCGGGTGGCCCCAGCAGCCATCACCACCCTCTTTCTCCTGGCAAGCCCGTCTCCGAGGAGGCTCCGTGTGCTGGAGCTCCTGCAGCAGCACTGTTCCCAGGAGCACCAGGAGGTAGGAGTCCAGGGATGGGCAGGTGGGAGATGCCTGCTGGCCAGGGCCAGGGCCAGAGAGGGGTGGGATCCTGTCCTGGGCATGGCATAGGACGGGGTCCCTCCTGGCATAGCTTGGGGCTGTTGTGGGGCCATGGGGAAAGGTGACGAGTGCTGGGAGCACCAATGCCCCCCATTTCCTTCTTCCTTGTCTCTCGTAGGAGGTGGTGGGAGAGGGAGAAGGCGTTCACCCAGAGCAGGGTCGTTCACCATGGTGGGGACCGTCACAACAGACCTCCCTCTGAGCAACGTGACTTCTGGATACTTGGACTATGAGGAAACTGAATGCTTTGGACTGTCTCACGGATTCATGGTTTTTGCAGGTGTCTGTCTGGGGATTTCTTTCTGCGGACTCGTGGGGAATGGGATAGTCATGTGGTTCTTGGGCTTCCACATGAAGCAGAACCCTTTCACCATCTACATCCTAAATCTAGCTGTTGCTGACTTCTCTCTGCTCCTCCTGTTTTTTCTGCTCATATTGGCAGTGTTGATCTTAGCAAGAATTTGTTCGTATTCGTATAATTTAATTTATTTATACTTAGATTTTTTATTTGTAGTTGAATTTCTGTGTCATTTCTTTGACCTTAGCAGCTTGTGTCTCCTGACAGCAATCAGCGTGGAGCGGTGTATCTCTGTCTTCTATCCGATCTGGTATCGCTGCCAACGCCCAAAGCACTTATCAGGCTTTGTGAGTGGGGTGGTCTGGGCTCTTGCTGGAGTTTTTGTTTCCTCAATGTATCTTAGCTTTAACTTTGCTAAAAGCTCTGAGACAATATTTTCAGGTGTAGCCATTGCAATTTCCATGACTTTGTCATCAATGATGTTGATTTCCAACCTGTCCCTGTTCATCAAACTCCGATGTGGCTCACGGAGACGACACCCGGGGAAACTCTATGTTGCCATCCTTCTCAACGTGATCTTCTTCTTTGCCCTTGGTATTCCTTTCAGTGCAGAGGTTTTCCTCAATCTTCCAAGTTCGCACCAATTATTTCCTGAAAACACGTCTTTTTTGCTGGCATCGTTGAACTGCAGCATCAATCCAGTTGTTTACTTTCTGGTGGGTTGCTGCCGGCAGCGCCGGCTCCGAGGCTCCGTGAAAGTCGCCTTCTGCCGAGTGTTTGAAGAGAAGGCGGTGAGCGAGGAGGAGAACCATGTGCCTGAGGACACGATGGTGGAGGCCACTGTATAAAGGCACTGCTGGCAAGGGGGCCTGGAGATGTGGAGAGCCCAGGGGATGGGGGTCCCCAGGCAATGCTGCAGCTCAGCATGGGGGTTCTATAGCACAGACCCAGCGCAGCATTGCTCAGTTGGGCTTGGTCCTGGCACACAGACTGTGTTCTCCATTGCAATGACCCTCACTGCCCTGGCCCCAGCGAATAAATTCTGGCTCCTTTTGCTCAGCAGATGAGCTTTGTGGGGTTTTGGGGGATCTCTTGCCTTGGGAAAGCCTGACACATCGGGCTTTGGGAGAGCCCTGGCCATCTCTGTTGTCCAAGTAAGGCAGGGGTCTGCAAAAAAGATTGCAAAAATGAGCAAACCAAGTGGGTCCTGGCAGGTCACGCAGGGATTAATGATGTAGAGACTAAGACATAGGGTAAAACGGGTTCTCTGTGTTTATAGTGGGGTCACTGGGCACACTTGTGGTTCCTGCATTGCGGGAATCCCTCCCACCCCAAATACTTTCCATATATTTTATTTCTAACTGAAGCTTCCTTTAATAATAAAAGAGAAAACTAAATCACCAAAACAACAGAAGCATTGCTGTTTCTTATGATAGTTTTGGGACGGAAGTGAGAGAGGATTGTTAGGTATAGGCAATATCTCCAGACCTTGCTGGAGTTTGCTCTCATTTAAATGCAGCTCCCATGAAAGCTTTGCTCTTCCATGGGCCAGTAGCAGCCTCAAGGGGGTGTGAACCACAGCCAAAGTGTTTGCACAAGTATAAATGTCTGATGTGAATGGTAAAGGAGTGGCCAAGCCCTGGAGCTTGCTAAGCACAGCATAGAGGGGTGTTGGTACAGGAGAGATGGCACCTTGGGATGCACATCAAAGAGGTGCCGGGATGGCTAGAGGTACATGTGGAATTGGGGAACAAGGATAGTATATGACTGAGGATTTGCTTGGACAGGACAGATGCAGAAGAAATCCCCAGGGTGCTAAATCTCCACGTGTAGTGTGGTGATTCACACAAGGGCTGGTCCTACTCCCTCTGGAATCACTGCAGGAAGTGTTATTCACTTGCCAAAGAGTAAGCGCAGCTGTGGAATACCACATTAATAGCTGGAATTAGCTGTTCTAAAATAAACTTGGCTTTTCTGCTCTTTTTCAGCACACACTGATTTGAAGATTTTTCATGTGTCTTAAAAAAAAATATTTACCTTATCCAGTTCCCATTTTTTGTCGTCATTTTCCCCTTTGTTTATTTTCATCTTGATTTGCCTTATGTTTAGTGCTGTCTTTGACAGTAGAATCATAGAATCACAGAATGGTTTGGGTTGGAAGGGACCTTAAAGCCCCCCCAGTCCCACCCCCTGCCATGGGCAGGGACACCTTGCACTAGCCCAGGTTGCTCCAAGCCTCATCCAGCCTGGCCTTGGACACTCCCAGGGATGGGGCATCCACAGCTTCTCTGGGCAACTTGTCCCAGGGCCTCCCCAACCCCTGTGGGAAGAACAACTTCCTGATATCTAATCCAAACCTCCCCACTTTCAATTTAAACCCGTTACCCCTTGTCCTGTCACTATAGGCCCTTGTAAAAAGTGTCATCCCCCCCAGTTTCCTTGTAGGCCCCCAATAATCCAAGTATTATTTCCTCTACCACCTGTTGTGCAATGAGTATTCTTGATTCTTCTCAGATCCTTCTTTTTTGTTAGGAACTTCCCACAAAATGGGTAATCCATATATTGCCGGTCTAACGCAAAGCACAGCTATGATGGAAACACATCTTAAGGAAGCTCCAGAATAGGCATAATGGACAGAGATAAGATGTATTTCAGGATGGAGAAAATCATATTGCCAACTATGCATGAGATTCACCAATTAAGAACATAGAACAATAAACCCAGAGCAATTAAATGGGTATTAATATTAATATAACTACCAGGAGAGAAACAAGCTGCATAAAATAGAAGTATCTGTCAGTGAAAAAGGTTGTTCTCTACACTGCTTATCTTCCGAAGTTTCTTTCCATTAGTCATTTCCTCCACCCAGAGAAGATTAGAGGTTGTGAATGTTGCCAAGTGCCCTAAAATTTGGGCTGTGTTTGGACGAAATTGGACATTGTGCGCTCACTCCTCCTTCGGTTTAAGGTGGTGTAAAGACAGCCTCTTTGTGAAAGGTCCTAAGAGATCCTGAGGACAGAAATTCCACCCGTGGTGCAGCTGGGAAATATTAGACTTCCAAGTGACTGGTTGTAAACCAGAAATTATTCTCGTGGAAATTGTGGGGGAAATTGCTAGTGAAAACCCACTGAAGTTGTGGAGTTGATCTGCCTTAACTCCGTGTGAGATTCTCTACACCGTTTCAGGCTCAAGCATTGAGAGGAAAGAATACTACCATTATTTTTTTTTATATAACACCTTAGCTTATTGTTTTTACAGACCTGGTTCCCACCTATTCTGTTTCTGTAGCTTTCACTAGAAGCCTCCTTGGGCATGCTCTCACTCCCTGTTTTTCCCACACATGCTGGGATGCAGCAGTTCCAAGCTGGTGCCTGGATAGGGTCAGACATTACCAGAAAAGTACAGACCTGGGCATAGGAAAAATCGTATTTCCTTTTGCTTCTTAAAGGATGGAAGAGAAAGAGGAGAAACGGAGAGAAGCACCAGCGAGGGAAGCTTTGTAATGAGTCCTTTCCTCTGACAGAGACAGGTTTGAGGTACAAGGATCGTGTATTATGGCAGACTCTCAGAATGTGACAGAAGTCCTCAGTTCTCTTTAAAACTGGTGGAGAAATGCGTCTCCAGTCTCCTTTTGCTCTGGAGGTCCCGTACCAATTAGCGTTATGGAAAAAACAGACTTGACAAGGGGAAAATGAATTTATTGGCAATTAAAATAGATTTGGGTAGTGAGAGACAATTAAAATATGACCTTGTCCCCCTGCCCCAGCTCAGCTTCTCCCCTTCCCTTCAGACTCGTCTACCCACCCAACCGCACAGGGGGGATTGGGGGGTGATACAGCCCCTACATAGCTGTTTCTCTCTGGTAAAGGAGAGACCACTCGAGCACTCATACACCACCCTAAGAGCTGCACACTCACCACCCACGTCTTTCCTGCCAGGACTGAAGTCCCTTCGCAGTGGGCAACTCCAGGGAGTTGATGGGTGCCCCTTCCGACTCCTTTCACACCCACATTTTCATTCTTGAGTGCTTCTCCCTTCCTCAGGCTTGGCCCTCCATTTCCCATAGCGGAGTCTCAGATATTTAATCTTATATTAAAAAAATAAAATTATTCAGATAGTACAGCGAAAAGAAAAAATAACAGCTTGAGCTGGGTGCCTTTGGAGAGGGACCCTGAACCAAGGAATTCCTGGGCAATTACACCCTTGCAATCCATGCACCCACCCTTCACACACCTCAGTCCAATGGTGATTTTTTGGTCTGGGGTCTTCTAACAGCTTAATGGACCTTTTCTCCAACTCCAGGCAGGCTGTTGACTGTTCTTATCGTGTTGATGGTTGTAGCCCCCTTATTTTCTGGTTTGTGCTTCTTGTGCACCTGCTCGCTCTGCCAGACTAAGCTTGGGATAAACACCCCTTAGCAACAACAAAAACATCAGTATGTTACCAACATCATTCTCACACTAAATCCAAAACACAGCACTGAAGAAAAGCAACCCTATCCCAGCTGAAAACATATCTAAGTGGAAATTTACAGCTTGAGGACTAAGGCTTTAGACGTCTAGCTAGCCAAGTGAGGTTAGTAATGAACAAACAGTGCAGCAAATTATGCCAGAGCCTGTGTGTCCTAATGCTAAATGATTTTATTTAAAACATACTTATCTAAACTAGACTACACGACTAATATTTCTTAATGTCTCTGCTTCTCCTTCCCGCTTTTCCCCTGCTCCAGGTTGGATCCCCCTCAGGCCACCTCAACTGCTCCAGTGCAGGGTCCTCCATGGCTGCAAAATGGCCCCCGGGCCCTCTTCTCCTTCTCTGCCCTGGCTGCTCTCCCCGCTCTTTCTCACTTTTCCCCCTCTCCCTCTGCCTCTCTGGTGTTTTCTGATGGTTCTCAAACATGTTTTCACATGAAGGGCTCAGCTGTGGCCGCCACGGAGCTGGCTGGAACCGGCTGGAACCATCTGGAAGCGGCAGTGCCCAGCGCAGGGCAGCCCCTCAGCTCGCCAGAGACACCCAGTACACACGCACACACTTTTTTGTATTATTTAGCAGATTTTAGGTGTTCCCCCTCTCCCATGGGACACACACAGGGTCAGCCATGTCCGGCACCACCTCAGCCGCAGCCTGCGTTCACTGGAAGCTCCGTCAGGAGCGACTGGAGGAGACGAGGCACTGAATTCGGGAAACCTCTGAGGTACTGGTCTGGAAGGAAGGACAGCCAGTTTCTTCAGATGATTTTCTCACATCGTAATTGATGTATTGTTAATTCTTTCACTCCTCTATTCTTAGACTTTCACTCCACCTTTACCACATCCCTGTATGTTCACTCTCTGCCCATGGCCACAACCCCCTTGGGCTGTGTCCCTGTTGTCAGGCACGATCGCCATTTTCCTGTTGGGGCCGATTTCCATCCTCCCACTCCTCTTTGCCATCTTGGAAAGGAAGAGTTTTCCAGCCTCCCCCCCACTCCCCGCCTTGTTGCGTGCTGCTTTGCACCTCTGCGTACCTGCTTCCTCTTGCTGATTAGCGCAAGCGGCCGCTTCTCGTTTGGTTGCAAAACTCTGAAATCCACAGTGCTGCAAACAGCAGTCGCCCGTCAGCCCTGAGGGGATTTGGCCTTCTGGCATCAATAATCCCCCTCTTTGGTGCAGTGCTGAGTCCACCCACCCAAGAGCCCATGTTTAATGTTGTGTGGAGCAACGTGTTTTAGCAACTGAGATACGTGTAAGTCCATCCTCACACCATATTTCCTGTATTGTTTATTCTTGGTCCTGATTCATCTCCATCTTCCCCTTCTCATTAGCGTCAGAATCATACACAGAGCAATATCACCTAAGAGAGAGCCACATTCTTATCACAACCTTTCTGTCTGATGTTCTCCCCAGGTGTTGTATCAAGCCCATCCAATTTTTAGCTGGTCAACTCATGTTGCACCCAGAGGTTTTCTATCTGCAAACAGCAGCAGCATTTTTTTAATCTACTACCCTGTAAGGAATAACCCAAGAGGATCAAGAGTACCCCTGAAGAGTAAAACAAAGATGTAAGGTAAGAGAGTTCCTGCAGAGAGACGGTGGAGGAGTCACCTCACTGAATAGCGTTGGCAGGTTTTGCTCAGAAGAACTATTCTCAGAATGTGTTTAACTTGAAATTTGCTATGTTTAGTTAGTTTGATACAGCCAAAAAAACCCACTTCTCCCTACCACAACGGCTTCACTTCTGTCCTTAGCTCATCTTCTTGACAAAGGTATGTTTTCTGTTTGGATAACACAACAATTTCTGCCTGGTGTACTAAACCTTCCAAACTCCTCTCCAGGTCATTGCTAGGGGAGGTGTAGTGGCACTTTACTATCCCAAATAGAAAAAGCAGCATAATAGTATCTGTACTTTGAAGTTTGGGGTAATTTTGACATCTTAAAATAATATTAGCATTTTAATTCTAGTCACAGATAACATCCATTCTCTTAGTGAAAAACCAAGGTGAATGGCCTACTGGGGATTAAGTCTGACAGAGCAGATGCCGTGTGGAGTGTACAAAAGCCCATGCAACAGCCTGGGCCCAGCTCTTTCCTTGGCTGAATTTGTTGAATTAACCCCACTCGAATTTCTGCAACTGGTGTCTAGGGACTCCGCAGAGGAGCTGGCTGCCCCTGGGGACATGTGACACCATCCCTGGCAGGCACCACATGCCGCTGGCACATGGACCATGTGGAGGAGCACGCTCAACATGGTTTGGGGTGCCTTTCTCCTTTGGGCTGTCCCCAGGGAAGCAGAAATGTGGGCTTTTTCCAGGGTGCTGGTGGCCCCTGAGGAATGTACGCTTCTCGTGAGTGAAGCCCTGACATCCTTCCACAGAGACACCGAGCAATTCAGAGGACAAACTTAGTTCAGGTGCTGAAGACATTCTCCCTGGCAGGCTGGGCTGACTATCCTGGTGTTAGCTCAGGCTGGAAAAGCCTGCAAGTGATTCCCATCTTCTTGCAGATCTCATCATTGACTTCTTTTGGATCACAGGAGGTATATACTGCAAATATCTGCCCTCCCTCCCCCCTCTATGATGCTTGTCTTTTACCATGGATGATTGAGGGTGTCTGTGATGGTGGTTTTTGAGCAGACATCACCTTTGAAATGTCCAAGGATGGATGTAAAGTGTTCACGTTAATGTGATGTGTAAAATGTGTTCACACTAAATACTGCGTGTCTTCGTGATGGGTAAGTTTAAGGACAAACTGTCAGGATGGAAAGTTTTTCACAGTTTATATTCTGCATCAGTTGATGGCTGCTTCTGAGCACAATAATTTTTTTAAAATACAATTTATTTTCCTTAAAAAACCCACAGCTTTTGGCATTTTTAATAATAACGGAAATGTTTCGGTTGTCCAAATGATAAAATCATTACAGATATTAAAAGAGAAACATTTTGAACATATTTTCTGATAAATGGATGCTCCCTTCCACTCAGCAGTAGACGTTAGAAGGAAAAAAAAATCCTGCTAAAAATAATTGATGACATAGACCTCATCTGAATCAACTATATGAACACTGCAGAGCAATAGCATTAAAAATTAAAGAATAGTAGGAGCGGAACTCAAATTTCAACTTTCAGGAGCTGTAAACAGGAAACAAAAAGCAGCTACAGGCATTAGGGTGTACTACCTTTTTTTAAGTGATGCATTTCAAAATTAATAAAAAGACAAATAAACAGGAAAAACATAACAGACAACAGAAGAATGTAACTTCCCTTTAGGAAAGCATTTGCGGATGAAGGCATGAAGAGGAAATCTGTAAAGTTTCTCAAACAAAATTACTGGTGTTGCCCTTTTCTATCAGTTTAGGCTGAAAGAGAAAACCTTATATAGTCCGATATTACCGCACCTCAAATGATCACGTCTTGCATCTCAAGGGATTGGGACGAGAGAATAATTTCTTGCAAATTGTGGTATTTATTTACCTTTTTTCTGTTTCCTATTTTTTCCCTATCCTTAAATTTATTTCTACTGGTAGAGGAGATGTTAGAAGCCATGGGTTCTTATCCTCCGTCCTTACTGAAGGAAGAAATAACAACCCAGTGCATGCTGTATGTAGACACAGATACTCTCTCATGGTTGGAGGAAGCTAAAATAATATGCAGCTCCAGCCCTGCATTTCTTTGAAACACAAGGAAAGGGAGCATGCAACTTCATTCACAGGGTTGTAAGGCAGGTTGGTAGGGGTTGGAGCCCTTTCCTACTACATCTCAACTCTATAGTATGGAAACCTCCATAGTTAATAGAAGAAAGGAACTTCTAGGGCACGAATCATTTCACTAGTTGAAATTCTCACACGGGGAAGCAAAGAACTGTGCACTCCGTGAGCCACTAAATGTTGCACATCTCATTGAGATACAGGTATTTAAAAATAAATGAGAGAGGTAGACTGTCCTTCCAGGAATTTCGTGGCTAATTTTGTGGACAGGAGGAGGCTTGGTTCCCATCTCATCTTCAAAGGCATGAGTAAAAAGTGACTGAGAATTTATGAATTTGATACTGTCCTCTGAAAGACAGAGATATATTAAGCGAGATGCAAATTTTGGGTAGGATTCCTTTGACGAAACGCAGACATGAAGACATTTCACCTTATCAAACTGATATCATTTAATAGCCACTGAGGTTAAATAGGCACTTTCAAAGTGTCCTAACACAGATCAGAGAAATTCCGTGATCCAGGTGTGTATTGTGTTTTCACCGACCACAGATGGAGCTTAAAATAACTGACTAAAGAGTAGAGACCTACAGTGAAGATATTGAAGGTTAGGTGAGCTAAACCTCCCCAGTACCTCAGAGTCCTTAATTTCTGTAAACTATTGGCCCTCAGCTCCGGACCAGTGTTACTGTGTTAGGCACAGCAGGGCATTAGGAGGACATAGTTACTGTGTCACGGGTTTCCCTTTCATCTTTGTCATCTGCTGAATCTTCAAAGGCTCTCTGGAATGCCAGCCGGAGGGTGAACTTGATTCTCCGATCCCTGTAGCTCCCCACAAGGAAGTAAATGACGGGGTTGAGGCTGCTATTCACGCAGGACAGCACAAAGCCGATCTCCGGGGAGTAGAGAAATTTGTAGCCCAAGAAGTCAAAGAGGATCAGGACGCTGAGCGGCACAGCGAAAATGAGGAAGAAGAGGATGGTGAGCATGATGATGGTGAAGAGCCTGCCTGTTCGGAAGTGCTGGGAGCTGCACTTGACTCTAAGGAAGAGGGTCAGGCTGAAGAGCAGCATGAGGGGCGTGCAGAAGAGGAAGTCCAAGGATCCGATGGTGATGAGCAGGAGCCGGCAGCTCCTGGCAGGGGGGCGAAGGGAACACAAAATATACCCGAGCGTGTTCAGCAGCAGGGAGAGAGCCCAGAGCAGGCCGGAGATGATGCCGGACAAGGGTTTTGGGCGGTGGCTTCGGCACCAGATTGGACACAGCACAGACAGGCACCTCTCAATGCTGATGGCTGTCAGGAGATACAAGCCGGTCCCATACATGAAAAGATCTAGGAAGAGGAAGATCCCAAACTGCACCCCGACATTGAACTGCATCAGGTACTGAACCGTCTCAATGGCGATGCAGAGGAGGTACCCAAAGTCGGCAGCGGCCAAGTTCAGGATGTAGACTGTGAAGTGGTTTCTCCGGATGCGGAAGCCGAGGTACCAGAGGACCATGCCATTCCCCACCATCCCACAGGCCGCGCTGATGAGGCAGAAGCTCTCCATGAACTTGAGGACGGCATATGATGCCTCTGTCTTTCCCACAGCCCCACTCTGGTTCATGCTGTGAGCCTGGCTGGTTGGAGTTGGAAGGAAGATCAGTGTGGTTGAAGCACTCATAACGAGTGATTCAGAGACCTGTAAGCAGAGAGGAGAGCAGTGGTAACTCGGTGTGACTTTCCCTCATGGTGACCTGGTGGTGTTTGTGGATTTGGTGAAGCTCTTTGTAGCCAGAGCTTGATTTAGGGAGGAATTGCTGTGTTTGTACTTAGAGCACAGTGTGTTCAAAGTGCTGTATCTAAGGCCAAATTCTGTATGACATGTAGGAAAAGTTAGATTGTGGTGTATTTCTCCCTTTTAAAAAGTAATTTCTTAAGGGTCCTTTTTGCAGTCAGCATTGGGAAACATGTATCTTAAGAAAAGCAATAATAGGTCAGATTAATCATATCTGAAGAGTTCCTCTTGTCTGAATAAAAAGACAACCCGGTGTTACCAACTCTGATATAACTGTCCTTGTTTTGTGTGGCTAGGATCAGGTGAGACAATCTTGTCAAAAGTGCGTGAAAGCTCTAGGCAATCAGCATACAAGTTTAATCAGCAAAAAGCGAGTTTTGTCCTATGCCTGTGCCCAGAAAACATGGCAAAGAGTACTCAAAATAGCCGGTAATTTTTTATGTTGATGACTGATTTCTATTTTAATACAGTGTGATGTGGTCAGTTTGCTCTCTTGAGCCCTACGTACAGACAATAAACTATTCAGTCTGACAGAGTCAGCCCTTAATAACTTCCTTCCCAGAGAGAGAACCATACGTGGGACAAAATATCTGACCCTCACAGGACATTGGAATTATGGCTCAAATAATTATTTCACCCCATTCCTTAGGGCAGTTCACCCTAATGAGGTAAAACAGCGTGACTCTCTTCCTCCCTCCTTCCCTTCCTCCCTCCCTCCCAGCTATTAATTTTGACACGGGAAGGTAGAGAAGTAAAATGGCAGGAGATGGTTAAGAGAGGAAGTTAAAACGGGGAGAGCTAGGGAGATGTGAATCACTGAACAGTCTAACCAGCATGAATAGTCTGTTCTCTCTTTGCAAAATGCTGCAGCATCCATGGAGACAGACTTCCATAAACACGCAACATGTGACAGATTGAATCATTACTCGTCCATCTCAGCACCCCACACGCTGTCTTCAGGGCTGCATGGACAGAGGCAAGATAAATGCACGATGCGGGTGAGTTCCTCGCCCAGCTGATGGCCTGGAGCCAGCGTCAGCGAGAGGATTAGTGTGGGCCAGCTGAAGTTAGCTGAGATGAATTCCACCCTGAACTTCACCAGGGCTTGCAGGATGTGAAACCTGCAGGATTGACTGAAACCAGGGAACTTCAGGCACTACACCATACTCTTACATAGGAAGCCGGATAATTCCATCCTCAGCTGTTACAGCACCTCGACTGCTTCTAACATTAAAACTTTAGAGACCCATGGTCTCTGAAAAAAAGAATTTTAGTGCCTACTGAAAAGGGCTACAGAAAACAAACAATATCACCTCCTTCAGAACGCACAGAAGCTCTGTTGTAGCACAGTTTCACAACAGGAGCATCACTGAGTTCAAACTCACCTTCTCTTTCCTTATCCAGGGAGAGCAGGACACTGCCTGACTGACATCACCAGCAAGGCTACCTCTTCCCTGAACAGCTGCAGCAAGCAAATTGAGAAGACACAGCCCTATGACTTTGTTCACTTCCTCACTACCTGCTTTTGGGGTGGCAGCAAATTATCAGACCTTGATTCACAGTAGAAAGCAGCTGAAGCAGCCTCTTAATTCTGTGAACCAAATTTGCCGTGAGGAGGAAGGAAAATCGAGTGGTACAGTGGTTTCCTAGCCTTGAGAAGATCCAATGCAGCACTATCTTCTGCCACAAGTTATCTGTGTAGCCTGGAGCAAATTTCCAATTGATTCGGAGAGGACATGTGCATTTGAGTGTCACTTAAGCTCTGTCGAAGCCCATTCCAGCCTTCTGACCAGGTGCCCATTTTCGGAAAGTGTCTATTCTACCTTCCTGCTGCAGTCATCTTCCGAAGGCAATTGACCCCATCCTCCAGCAATGCATCTCTCTCCGCTGGGCATCCAGGGAATGCCAGGGGATTAGCTGTCGAACTGAAGCTTGTCAAGCATGTTTCCTGATGTTAAATTGCATGGCCCTGTCTGCTGGTCATATATGCATAAAGGCTGCTGGGTACAGATGTGGCTGTAATGGGTGTCCTGTGGAAAAATGGCAAAACATCCATTATTTTGCCTACCACTGTGATGGAAGTGAAGGAATCCTTCTCTGACTTCTGCAGATCACGGAAAAAAGATACTGAAAAAGTCACTCACAGGTCTCAGGTATTTATTGCATGACTTTGGAAAGGCTGATTTCTTGTCTCCAAGACACATTCATGTCTCTAAGACACATTCAAGATGTGAGTCTACTTCCTTAATGAAACTAATTAATGAAAGTTTGCATCAAACAGCAGCAAAATGAGTCTAGGTGGTCTTTTTTTTTCTCTTGAGATTAAACATCCTTCCTGCGGTTTGCATGCTGAGTACCGCATAGTTCTTGCAGCAGATGTCAGTCTGAACACCACAATGACATTTTAGATTATAGACACGGAGTTGCGATGTTGTATTTTCTTGGCTAATTTTAAGTGACCATTTAAGACCAAAACTGCTAATGCCAGGTCTCTGAACAATGGCACCTCAGGTTACAGAACTGTATTTGGAGCAATTCAGTAGCACTTCTTCATGGAAAAGCATCCCCAGAATGAAGCTCTCCTTACCTTGAGGATGAACAATGCAAATGCTTGCCTTTAGCCATTTTCTAACCAGTGGGAGAAGAATATATTTAAAAATCCTTTCCTCCAATTTTTTTCCTCCTCCCTTCCCCTCACCACCTCTCCAAAAGCATGACAGAAAGCATTAGACAGAGCGTAATGGCAAAGATCCCATCTAGGAATTTCTCACCTTTTTGTGGGTTCCCTGGAATTTCAGTGACTGATTTGCAGCAGTTGCCTGGGATGGATCTGCTGGCTAAAATTGTCACCTGAATTCTGTGGCATATGGTCCAGGTAAAATCCGTGTGTCGTACTGTAGTGCTGGGCTAGTTGGACACTTAAAAAAGCCACGGTCCTTTCAGTGTGACATCCGACAGCCAGCCAATCACTCTCTTGGGGAAATATCTAGTTTGTTGTGTGTGGTCACTTAGATTTGAACCACTTCCCCCTTCTCTCTTTGTACAGAACCTGTGTCACTCTCATGGCTCTGGAAATGGTTTGCTACCACTTCTCCCTTCTTCAGCCACTCTCACAACACAAAGCAAGCAAGAACTGTACAAAATTATACCTCTCCTCTTGCGCCGATGCTTTGTTAACTGCTCGTATCCCTGAGATGCTCTGGTTTCACAGTCCCTGACGAGGATGCCTTAATGCTGCTCAGGGTCACACGGGCCGAGACCTTGTCTGTCCTCTTCTCTAACTCCTGCTGACGATTTCACAACCTCCGCAGCACAACTTCTCATTCCCCAAGGACTTACTGTCCCTGTCAGACTAACCTTAACACACCCATCACCACAGAGTGTCCTCTTCTGACCCATGGCTTCTCCCAGCACAAGTTACCACCCTGCTTAACACCTACTGTTTCATACTGCCAGGAGGAGGGTCCGCCCAAACTCCATAGCTTTATCACACCTCAGCATCTACAACTGATCAGCCTCTGCTTGCGCTGCCTTCAATACACAGTACCTGCTTCTGATGGCAGGACCTCTTTTGGTGCAACTCCACACCCCACAGCACTACCTGCCGCTTCATATTGCCTTTCAGCACAGTCCTTCACCACACCTCAGCCACTTCCGATTTCACAAAATCCCTCAAGACAGCCTCCAGCCTTGTGCCTTCCATTTCCAGTTTCACAACTTCTCCCCAAAGCCTCAGCCTCATCCTGCTATCCGATTCACACTTCTTCACCACCTCATGTCTCTATCAAGACAGACCTATGCCAGCATTCACCACCCACCCACCCACCACACCTCCCTCACCTTCTCACCACGCACACTCCCTCCGTGCGCGTGAGCTACCACCGCCTTGGTGTCCAGTCCACATGCCAAAGTGGAGTGAAAATGGAGAAAACACCTTTCTCTTTTCCCAGCAGTAAGTAGATCCTTACAGGGAACTGTTGTACAACAGGAGGTACCAGCAACTCCTGGTCTGGGCTCGTGCATTGAGCCACTTCTGCCAGTCCATTTCACTAGGGAGACAAAAGGAGATGAGTGTGACACTAGCCAGATTGCTGCCATGTGTGCCAGTCAGTACAGAAACTGGCAGATCTGGCCCAAATTAGCTTAGCAGGCCAGATACTCGATGGTTCATCTAGCTTCTTCTGTCATTTGTTGTTCCTCTTCCTTTCCCAAAGATCGTGAGCCTTGTTTCACTTTCTTACCCAACACTGTTTCCATAGTGACTAATGTTAACCCTTATTAACCTGGCCAGGACTCCAGGCTACAGGACGAGGATATTTAAGTTAGCGGACCATTTTCACCCAGAGCAGTATTAACCTCCTCATTAATTTGGGGATTTTAATTTCCACTTCATGGATTTCTTGCACTCTGGGTATTATTGGCATTCTGTGTCGGGAGATGGTTCTATTACCCTGGTTCTTATTGGGCCATTCTGAATTTCAAGAAATATCAACAAAGCAAAGTAACAGTCAGTGGATGAAACAATTTACTTTTTGACACCCATACATCAGAAGCTAAAAATACCCAATAGACTTACGGGCAGTGATGAATTTGACTTGAACTGATGCATGAATTGGCATATCTGTGTGCTTCATTTCATAGATTTACCTTTGGTTGCAGAAATACAGTCAGTGGATGAAACAATTTACTTTTTGACACCCATAAATCAGAAGCTAAAAATACCCAATAGACTTCAGGGCAGTGATGAATTTGACTTGAACTGATGCATGAATTGGCATATCTGTTTGCTTTATTGTGTTTCATTTCATAAATTCACCTTTGGCTGCAGAAATTTTAAGTTAAGAAAGATGAGGCTCTTCTTGCCAGCAAGATTACATAGAACCATA